CTTTCTAAGAGGAAGAGAAAGAAATAGTTCTCCAAAAGCAAGCACCAAGGAAAGGTCATGTGAGCACATGGTGAGAGGCAGACAAAACAAGCAAGGAAAAGAGCCCATACCAGAATGTGACGTGCTAGCATACAGAGCTCAGGCTTTCAGCCTCCAGAACAGGGCGAAAATAAATTTCTATTGTTTAAGGCACCCAGTCTATGGTATTTTGTTATGGCAGCCCAAGTGACTAAGACATTCCTCCTCTCTCCATCATTCCACCCACACAGAAACAGAAAAATGAAGGAACTTTATCTGAAGAAACTGAAAGCTCTTAACCCAGAGGAAAACACTAAAGATAAAAACATGGGAGTCCATTACTCACTAAGTCCTGCTCACTCATGTTCACGAGCTTTCAATTGCTTTGGCAATTTTCTCTTAAATACAAAAGAACTGCTAAGAACAACACAGAAGAAAGCCTTCAACTAAAAGAAAGACACCAAAACAAATCAAAAAATTTAGAAGAACCAAAACAATGCAGGAAACAAGACATTTCAAAAAAAAAATTATATCATTATTGAAGAGATAACAGAGATACTGAGCTCATTAAAAAGGAACAAAATGCTACCTAACAGGAACAAAAACATGAGCTCATAAAAAATTTTTCTTAAAGCTAGAAAACTCAGTAAAAAGACTGAAATATCCCAAAAAGTACAGATAATTTTTTAAGAGATGAGACTTCTCTCAACACCAACATTAGAAACCAGACAATAGAACATTACCTTCGAACTTTTGAGGGAAAATAATTTCCAATACAGAAATCTCTCAAAAGACAAACAATCAAGAGTGAGGATTAAAAAAAAAAAAAATCCAAAAAGTGTTGTTCCTATACACTCTTTCACAATACTAGTAGAGAAAATAAAATGAGGGAACAACCCAAAAGGAAAGAAAGCATAAGATGTAGAAAAGGGAATGCAACAGAAATGAAAGAAATTCCCAGAACGCCAGCCAGCTAAGGAAAGTCCAAGATGATAGCTGTGCAGCAGGCTTTAGGAGGAAGCAACCCAGACTGGAGCAGGAAGGACAGCCACAGAAGGGATGTCTACAGGAACAAATGGAACTGGTAAGTTTAGCTGAAAGATTTGCCTGTGTGGAAAATTGTACTGAGGAGCATTTTATGGAGCTGCTGGAGGATACAGAAAGACTCTGCCAGACAAAGCTAAATAGAAAATACAAAAGGTTACACACACACAAAAGTGAAATCACAGTCAACTATTAACAGTGACAAACTGTTAAGAGAAAATTCTAAATATGAATTTAACCTACAACTGTGAAAAAAACAGAAAAATTGAGGAGAGTATAATTGAAAAATCTTCAAACATCCATTCGTTAAAAATCACTGACATTTACATAACTCAAATTATGCAACTCTAAGAAAAGCCACTGTTTTCATTAGAGTTATATTCTATAACTAGCTTTAAGGCAAAAATTTTGACTTCTGTCTTGGAATATTTCAAGGGTCATTCTGGGGGAAAAAAAAGTTAATCAATGCAAAGCAAAAACTATAAAAATTAGAAAATTAAACAAATTCTATTGGCTATTTGAACTGATGAAGGTGCATGATATCTAATGATACATTAATTGTACTGTATACCCTAATATAATGGTAAATGTACCTTCAGTACATGTCCATTTTTCCTTTTCCTTTTTTTTTTTTTTCTTGTTTTGTGGGACTAGGGTTTGAACTCAGGGCTTCGTGCTGGCCAAAGCAGGCACTCTATCACCTGAGTCACACCACCAGTCCATTTTGCTCTAGTTATTTTGGAGATGGAGTCTAGCGAACTATTTGCTGGGGCTGGCCTCAAACTTCGATCCTCCAGATCTAAGCCTCCCAAGTAGTATTATAGGCTAGGATTACAGGCGTGAATCACCACGCCTAGCTCAAACTCAATACTTAACAAATGTTGCGTCAGACCCTTTCATAGATTTCTGTTAGAATGATTACCAACATCAAAGTAAAGCAATTCTAAGGGCTTTTTTAAAAATGTAAGTAAATACGGGAGCCTAATTGTTTATGGAGATAGGAATGGTTAGCATGTCATTTTTGTTGTGTTAAGAGAAAATATATTTTCCTTGTGTAAATGTCTTTATAGCTAACTTCTAGTTCTAAGGTTGTTCAATCAATAAGCTATGGATAATTGAGGGGCTACTGAACTATGCGCAAGCAACTCAGGGCAACAAGAAAAAGTACATAGCGAACAGACACTAAGATTTTTACAAAAGACATAGAGAAATGAGCACCATGCTTACAAATTGCTTGCAATTATACCTATAATAAAGGTACGTACATAATCTTGCTTCTTTAATACCACTGTTTCTTACTTATTTAAAACAGGACCTTAGCAAGATGCCAGTGGCTCAACCCTGTTATTCTAGCTACTCAGCAGGCAGAGATCAGGAGGATTGAGGTTTGAAGTTAGACCCATGCAAAAGTTCCTGAGACACTTATCTCAAAACAAAACAAAACACATCACAAAAAAGGCTGGCATAGAGGCTCAAGCAGTAAGAGTGTTTGCCTAGGAAGTGGGAGACCCTGAGTTCAAACTCCAGTGCTGAAAACATAAAAACAGAACCTCAATTCAGTTAAATGCAAACTTTAAAGGGATATGATTATTTCCCAGGTTAACAGGGAAATATTTTCATCAACGAATTTACCATCAAGCCAGGTGCTGGTGGCTCATGCCTAGAATCCTGCCCTACAATCCTACTTGGGAGGGTGAGATCAGGAGGATTCCAGTTCCAGGGGACAATCTTTTAATTGAGAAATAACCACACAAGACATGATCCTAGCTCATCTCTTCTGTGTGCTTTAGTAAAATGCCTGAGGATAATGTATTAATCCACAGCCCAGGCAAGTAGTTCTCGAGACCCCCACCTCCAAAATAACCTGAGCAAAATGGATTGGAGGTGTGGTTCAAGTGGTAGAGCACTTGATTTGCAAGTACAAAGCCCTGAGTTCACACTCCTGTCACAAAAAAAAAAAAAATCAAGATAGTGATCTTTTTCTTAGATTTTTAGTTCTTTCTCAATAAAATAGCATTTCTGTCAAAAAAAAAAAAGTAAGAATCTTACAAAAGTAAATATCTAGTCTCTACTAAAATAAATCCACATAGGTCACAGGAGAGTATCATTCTCACATCTTAATGTAAAAGCTATCTATCAGTGCTTATATTCAGGCTTTAAAATGTAAGTGGTAGCCCTCAAATGACATTTAGCATTCTAAATGTCATTTAAAAGACTATACACAGTTTTCTCAGGATTGGTGGAGGGCTCAAGTGATAGGGCACCTGCTAGCAAGCCTGAGGCCCTGAGTTCAAACCCCAGTACAGCCAAAAAAAAAATAAAAACTCTACAATTTTCTCTATAACAGCCATCTAACTTTAAGAGCCATTAGTGTTCTCCGTATTTTAAGCCAGAATTGTTTTTTTTAATGTTTATTTATTTCTTTTCAGCTCTACCAATATTCCAATAATGCAATACCCATATTCACTGCACTTCCTCAGAGTACTAATGAAAAGTAAACTAGCGGTTTGCAGACCACAAATAAGACTAACACCACGCTGTATATGGATAGATTTCCAGGCACTTACAACCTAAACTTTATATTTAACCATTAAGACAAACAGCTTTAAGATACTAATCACCTAAAATTCCTCAGTAAAAGGAGTATAAATTCCATCTTAAAACCCACTTTCCTACAAGCAACACTCTCCAAAGCTGAGATCTTTACTGTGCACAGGAGTTGGTTTCCATGTCAAATTTTTCCTATGGGGGAGGGAAAAAAAAAAAATCAAGAAGTAACACTGTTGCTACATATTCTTGTGTAGCTTTTTTTTTACGTGTGACAAGTCAACCACTCTAATTAAACATGATCTAAGGTAACAAAAGATTGGCAATATTAAAATTGCTACTTCCCCCCCTAAAAAAACAAAACAAAGCAAAACAAAGACTTATTTCACAACACTGTGTAGCAATGTACATTTACAGTAAAGCTCACTACAAGCTTGAAGCTTGTGATCCTATAAAGATCTAATTTCCACCAATCTACATGGAGAACTACTGTCAGATTACTATGCATCCACAGCTAAATAGGTAGCACGCCTTATTTAAAAAAAAAAAAAAACCCTACCTGAAAAATTATATGACTAACCCACATTTAAAAAGAAAACGGAGAAGACCGCTTAAGAATTTGCTGTTTTCTGATGCTGAAAGATTTTGCAACCATTTGATCTGGCCAAAAATGTCGAAGTTCCTTATTTTATTATTCGCTGCAGGAAAAAGGAATACGGCTGAAAATTCTTCTAAAGGGGGTATTTCATATAGGACCACTGGAAACACTGAAGAATATGGGGCGAAGAGGCGCGTGGAACAGGAGGGCTACCTTAGGAACCAGCACACTCGGGGCCCTGCACGCTACCTCATTTCCCTAGTAGGGATGAAACACTCAGGCCTCTGGTAGCTTCCAGCTGACGCCAATGCTCTACACACACACACTTTTGTTTTTTTGTTTTGTTTTGTTTTTTTTAAACAGGATTTTCTGGCATTGGAAGCTGTATCCCAAAAATGAATTTCTGTGATCGCGTCTCAACGGTTTAGTAATCAATCAAGAATCTTCTTAACGACCAAACCTCTTCCCCCACCTCGCTTCCTCCCAGCTCTCCCCAGAACACCTGGGGGGGGGTCCCCTATACCGATTCCTACAAACCCTGCAGCGCATTGAGCAGGGAGGAAAACTCGATATAGAAAATAAAGAGTTTCGATCGCTGCCCTCTCTGCGACTAAAATTACAGGCTCTATTTCCTGCCCCCGTGGGGACAGCGAAGTCGTCCGCTGCGCACCGGACGCCTCCCGCCCCCTCCAGGCCGGCGCACGCGGCCGCGGCGCTCCCCCTGCCCGGGCCCCGCGGGTGCCGTGTCCTCCCTCCCGTTCCCTCCCGCCCCCTCCCCCGCGCCCGCACCCACCTCGGGGCAGCGGCTTCGCCTCCCCGTTCTCCTCCCGGGCGGCGCCGCCGAGCCCGTGCCGCCGCCTCTCCTTCTCGCGCTTCTCCTTGGGTCTGCGCGGCTTGGCGGCGGTCGGGGCAGCGGCGGCCGGCAGCAGGACGCGGGGAAGTGGCGCGTGCAGCAGCGTAGGAGGGACCAGCAGTTTGCGCGGCACCGGCGGAGACGAGGAAGCGGAGGCGGAGGACACGGCCGGGCCAGCGGAGAAGGAGAAACAGCTCCGAGACGACGACGCAGAAGGGACAGCAGACAGGGCGGCGAAGCTCCAGGACGCAGAGCTGCCATAGCTCTGAGGCGACGGTGCAGCCGCCGCCGCAGGCTGCAGCTGCCTGCTGCTGTTCCCTCCGCTGCCCCCTTCTCCGTTCACTCTCCGCGGCGCCTTCTTCTCCTCGGTCCGGACCTTCTTGGCTGACAGAGGACCTGATGCATCCCGGGAAGAAGGCTGCTGCTGCCTGCCAAGTGGTTCTTTCTCCGAGACAGCCGCAACCGCGGCGGCGGAGCCGTGCATTGGGCTTGGCGGTTCCGCCATTTTGCGCTCCTGTTGTATTTACTCTCCTCCGCTCCCCAGCGCGGGGCAGGGGGCGGGCCTCCTCCGGGGGCGGGACGGGGGCGGGGCGGACGGGGCACCGGCTGAGCTCTCCATTGGGCCAGCCGTGCAGATAGATCCATCTGGAAACTAATCAAAGGCGCGGACATAAGCGAAGGGATGGAATTGCCAAGTGGACTCGCTTTGGAGGTCAGAGCTCCGCGGGGCGCGGCTAGTGGCCCTAAATCTAGTAGGGGAGGGTCTTAAAACTGTCGCCTGCGTGAACTGGGGTGCCCTCTGAGTTTCTGGGAAGAACACACACAGGCACCACACACACCCTGAACCCCAAAATCTTTCTCAACCGAGGTGGCGTTCGTCTCTGCCTTGGAGATGTTGTCTTAGGTGTAATTTTTTTCCCTGAGATGTCTCTTGGTCCCTTCCTATTTCTCGTATTCGGAAAACTGGATTTCGAGGATGCTGAACTCAGAAGAGAAAATTTGCCGAGCATTAAATCTTTTTTTGTTAGTCGGCAGTGGGTTAACGGGAGAGGATTGAAATTATTTGATATGGTAACAAAATGTTACTCTTGCCGAGAGGGCTAATTCTCGAAGGGAGGTAATTCCCCGCAAACCTGGAACTTTCGGATTGCTTCCGAGCTTGAAGGTAAGACTCCTCTGGTTTGGAGACTAATTTGTTGTGATTGGACCCTTAAAGGTTTTAATTTATATAATTATATCTTAAACTCACCAAGAAAAATCGGTTAGCGATATCTATAAATGTTTTTAAAGCATTTAAAGTATTTTAGTGTTTAATTAGCGCACTGAGTTTCGATTTTTTTGTAAACCTGTGCTCTGATTTTTAGTTTTAAAAGATAAGGAGTTTGGGGAGATAGGTTTTAGCTTAGAAGATAAGGAATTCAGGGGGATGGATTACAATACAGTTGTAGCTGTTGCAAAAAGCATGGTTTTAACTCTTAGATCTCATGTGAGATCAGGAAGTCAAGAGAAGGAATATAAAAATTAAAGTAGTCAAGTTAGATGACAAGAGGAAATTTTATGATTCCTAAGGAGAACCCTAAGTACCTGTTACTTTCTGGAAACCGTTAAAAGTAACATATTGGACTATCCACTCTTCTGACCTCAGGAATTTGGAGTTGTTATTTTGTTGCCCTTTTCTTCTTTATTTCTTCACCTTCTCTTCTCCCCTCCTCCCCCATTTAGGACTGTTTTTGAGGAGTTGGAAGAGTCACTTTTTAATATTGGGTTATAGATACAATTACTTTTAGGTGCCTCAAATTTTCAAGTAATTAAAACATTTAAATCTTTTTAATACCTAACAGTGAAAGCAAGTGAAAACTGTAATTGGAGTTGACTGGGCAGCTGATATTTTAATGAATTGTAGCATTGGTGGGAGGTTGAACAGAGAGGATAGGGCTGGGCATCATCACATCACTGGCCTTGAACTTGGTCAGGCTGCTTCACCTGTTAAGACCTCTGATTTCTTATCTGTTAAATGAGTACGTCGGATTACATGATCACACACTCTAAACTTATGTCTTTTTCAAAGAGCTTTACAAAATCACATTGAAGCCATTACGTTTCTTAATCATCTATCTTAAAAAGATAAGTATCTTTTACGTACATTAATGTAGCTCCTGCAAACTTGGACCACTTATTCATATCCACATTGAAGTCTGGAGAATTTGACTTCTTACAGGCCCTGCTAAAGTATAGTCTCATCTGTTCAAATTTATTATTACTCCTTGCCCTATAAAACATTGTTACTAGACCTGACCCTAAAATTTCAGAGCCTGTGCAAGAATGTGGCTATGCCACATAACTGTCTAAGTATTCAAAAGTTACAAGTCAAGATAACAAACTATCATATAAAATATATTCTATTTTCCTACCTTGACAAAACCACTTTCATAATGCTCTGGAAAGCCAAATTTAAACTTAGACTTCTCAGAGCTCCAACTGATTTCCTTCTCTTCTCACTTCCAGCTTCTTCATCCATGATCACCATACTAAAAGTGGCCACCTGCCATGTTCAAATACATGTCCACATCCTGTACTCCCTGTAAATAATGATGTACTCTCAGATCTAGACAGTCTAAAATGATGTGCAGGCTTCCTTCAGGCATGGCCCCTTGACCTAATGGACCCCTTGCCCTTTGCAGTAGGAAGAGGACCAAGTAGACAGGAGCCCCTTAGCGAGCCCTAAAAGCAATAATGTGTTATAAAACATGGTTAATTTTAATTAAGTCAGGAGATGACCAGTGAGAGGAAGCTTTTTCTGTCCTGTATAATCAGACATTCCCTTTCAACTATATCATTCCTAACAGTGTTTAACTAGGAGGGAATTTCTACGGCTATCACCAGTTCCTTTTGGTATAATCTCTTTGCTAGCACTTAAACCACCCTCTCATGTCCTTGTCCACTGTTGGCTCCCAATTTCAAGTACCCCCACTTCTCACCTATGTGACTAGCCTTTCTTCTGATCTTGCATTTTAATTTTCTCAAATCTGTTCTCCATTGTTCAGGTAGAATGGTCTTTTCAAAATGTAAATCTGATCATGTGTCTTCTCTCGTTTCAGATGTCTGTAGCTTCCATTGCTCCTTAATACAGCTGTAAGACCCAGCCCTCTAGAGGCTAAGACAGAAGCATCACCAAGTTTGAGGCCAGCCTGGGCTACATAGTGAGGCCCTGTCTCAAAAAAAAAAAAAAAAAAAGATTCATAAATATAGATACAGAGATAGATAGGAGAGACTGTTCACTCCAGGTAAGGGTCTGTAATTTCAGAATACACCATGTCTTTCAACATAGGACCATTATGTATGTTGTTCCCTCTGCTTGGAATGCTTTTCCCTTTACCTGGTGCTTATGTGATAGTTTGGATAATGAACATGAGGGAGGCAGATGTTATGAATGCCTCCCAGATTTCTAACCTGAGCTAGGAAGCACTGAAGAATGACAGGTTTCAGGTACTCTGGCCTTGACCCTGTTGAAGGGTCTGCTCAAGCTGAGCACCAGTGGCTTACACCTGTAATCCTAGCTACTCAGGAGGCAGAGATCAGGAAGATGGCAGTTTGAAGCCAGTCCAGGCAGATAGTTTGTGAGACCCTATCTCAAAAAAACTCTTCATAAAAAAGGGCTGGTGGAGTGATAGTCAGTTTGAAGTGATCTCTTGTATTATTCCCTACCAACACATTCTCTTTGATTCTTTCACAACACATATCACAGTTGGTAATCACTTGACAGTTAATTGTTTGCTTTTTACTAACTCACTTCCTCAATAACCTGTAAGCTCCTTTAGGACAGGAACTGTATCTTTCCTATTCAGTCTGATTCACTGGTGTATCCCTAGAATGTAGAAAATGCCTGTACACATTAAACATTCATCAGATGTCTATGAAACAGATGAATCCATGGTTTCACCTGCATTCTAATTAGCTAATTTGTTTTCTCCAGGAACTGATAGAATTGCTTTATAATAGTCCAATGATAAGTCCCCCTGGGAGTGGGGGAAGACCTGTTGTGTTAGTCACTTTTCATCACTATGACAACTTAAGGAGAGTGATGGAATGATTTATTGTGGCTCACAGTTTCAAAGGTTTCAGTTCATGGTCTGCTGACTACATTGCTTTGGGCAAGGCAGAACATCCTGGTGGGGAGGGCATGATGCAGAGCTGCTCAACTCATGGCATCCAGGAAGCAGATCAGAGGAGACCAAGATAGGCCCTTCAGAGGCACATACCCAGTGACCCACTTCCTCCAGTCAGGCCCCACCTTCCACAGTTTCTACCACCTCCCAATAATGCCATCATGTTATAAATCCACTAGTGGAATCATCCACTGATGAGGCAAGACCCCTCATGATCCAGTCAGCTCTCAATGATTGTGTTCAGTATTGGGGACCAAGCCTACAAGACGTGAGCCTTCAAGGGATATTTCATATCCAAACCACAGCAAGTTTGGATATGAAAGGAATTATGGAAAAGGAAACTGTACTTAATTTTATTATAGCCCTTTATATTGACAAAACTTCTAATAAGTTTGATACTCATGTGTACATATGTGACAAGAGAACACACTAAACGGTAGATTCATCATTAGTTTTTTCCAACATCCACCAGCACTGAGCTCTGATAATAATTAGGTAAGTCCTTCCTGTCCCACTAATTATAACCATTATTATGTTTAGTAAGGAGTAAAAACCCACAAAGACCAAAAAGTATTTTACTGTATTTTAAATAGGGCTGGTGGAGTGGCTCAAGAGGCAAAGTGCCTGCCTAGCAAGTATGAGGCCCTGAGTTTAAGCCCCAGTACTGCTTAAAAAAAAGTATTGCATAAAGAAATAACTCAGTTATTAAGAAAATAAGTTACAGGAAAAACTAAACCAAATATCCTTTGTTTACCCATAAAGTATCATATTTTTAAAAAGTAAATAAAGGCTGAGTTAAATTCGACTGCTGTCTTCAGTTCACTTGGATATTTCAAAAGGAGCCCTTTTCACAATACATTACAGGCTGCTCTTCTCAGCCATTAAATGGTAGAGGCAGTTGGACTGGAGGTGTGGCTCACTTGGTAGAAAGCCTCCTTTCCAAGTGCAAAGCCCTGAGTTCAAACCCCAGTCCCACCTAAATAAATAAATAAATGGTAGTGGCCCTAAAGTGTCAACTCACAGGGCTTTCCCCCTTCACATTAGTTTGTCTCCCCCATCTAAAAAAATGCCCCAACTTCACCACATTGCTTTTATATTAACAGCTCCCCGATTTATCTCTGTAGCCAGCTGTCCCTCTGTGTTTGTGAGCTAACTCCAACATTTTCCAGGAATGTAAGCACTTCAAGTTCAACATGCCTGTGCCAGAGATGTCTACTTCCCTGCAAAGAATCTGTTTTCTTCCTTTTCTTTTTTTTAACTGCTGAAATCCTTCTTTCATTGAGGTTGCGCCTAGCAAAGGGAAAAAGTATAGTGCACAACCTCCCTTACTCCTACGCATGGCAGTGAGATGTCAGGGGAAGTCAGGGTAAGGCCTTCAGGAAA